ATTGTTCGAGACTTTCTTAAACATTCCCATTTCTATTTAAGAATTAACATCTCAGCAGTGGCCTGAAGACGATCGTACACCAATTGGTAAAAACAGTCTGCTTTATTGATGATGAAGTTGTTCGAGAGGATTGAAAATATATCATAAAATATATCGTTGAGAGTTGATTGAAAACAGACGTTTAATAAAGTCTTGTATAAAACTATAACTTAATCGTTCGATTAACTCGTGTATTTGTCGAAAAGCAATGGTATCTTGCAATTGTTCTGAGCAATTTGTCAACTAGCAACCGTAGATGCCATTTTATGTGACTCCACTGAACTTAACAGGGAACAGTGATGGAATAATCGGCCATCGGAGAACCGTCGCGTTCGCGTAAGCCCTGGAACTGTGCAAGTCCCCAGCTAATCACCGATCAATGCCCGACGTCGCTTAAGAACGTAAAGAAGGACGGAAACGGAAAAGAATCGTTCCGAATTTCACCGAACTGCCCGACCACTGGAAACGTGTCCTGTCGTGTTCTCCAGCCTGTACCACGTATTATCGACCCGAGTAAAATATATTTGATTCGATAGGACTGGTCGGCGCGTCTGAGCCGTTATTATTCCTTTTTATTCACCCCCCTCTCCCTGGCTCATCGACGGTTCCAGGGATGATTGAGCAGAGAAAAGCAGCACAACCTGAACGATAGGCGATAAACCAATCGGTAGCAATCGCAAGCACTGCACTGCATGCGCTATCTCACCCTAGATCTCTCCCTCGTGCGCGCGCGCACGCTCCCTTCAGCAACCCGCCCACATATACACGACACACGCTCGTCCTATTAACATACACGTTCGTGCGGGGTTTATACACACACGGTGACCCTACGCGGGAAATGTTCAGGGATCGATTTGCCGTCTGAAAACGACGAAAAATATTCGCGAGGAGTTCTCGAAAGGGGGATGGAGCGCTTTGTTTTTAATAACAAAGCTAGCGGTTTGTTGGGGGATGCACGACTCGTCTTTCACGTGTGCTTTAGTTGAAAATAAAAGAGTCGGATGCATTACCAGTTGGGATTCATTCGAAAATAATAAAATCCTTTGAAATAAATCCTTTGGAAGTGTCCTGCTCCCAGAAGGGAGGTTCGAGGGTTTTTGGGTCACTGCTATGGTCTTAGGTTATGGTTCCTAACGTTTTCCGTCGTTTTCAGGTGGCGAATCGAATACCTGAAACGTTTCCCACGTATTGCAGGACACTCTGCGTGTCTCTTGACATGTGGGACACACATGAGCGGTGGATTGAGAGCAGAAAAGCAGCGAGAAAAGTTGATATAAACACACGGCCCTATTCGACCTCATTTCCGAGTTGTAGCGACTGCTAAACTCGGACGATGCAAGGTTCCACATGCGAAGATTACCGGGCGCCAGTTCCCTTGCAAATGAAAACATGTCAATTCGACTGGCGCCACTAATCAACCGTAGCAGTTGCCATCGTTCTCGAATGCCTACTCCAAATTGAAAATTGTTCAAAACTGTGGAAACTTAAACTGACTTTAACACTGGCACCGTTAAACTGACATATTCCTGGCGCTAATGATCCCTGCATGTGCGAACCCTGCATTAATCACGACCTGGGCTAGTTAACCGATTCTATTAAGGCGTTCGTGCTAGTTCGATAACTCCTTGTTTTCCTTAATGGGAGATTAACAAGTCAATCTCGTGGCACCTCCTTGAGTGGACGATCGTGTGAATTAGTGGAAGAAGTTCGTGTATGTGCCATGCACTATCAGATTTTCTTTGAACAGAGTCCTTACTTTAGGCCTAGATTCACTCGATTATTATTTTTAGAGCCAATCAGAGTCGAAGAAACGAAAGAATTCAACTCAACTCACGCACATGACCAGAAGGTGACCATTTTGAGAGGTCCCAGTGAAACGAGGAAGTGCAACGATACAAAAATAATCCTATAACTCGGGAACAACGTGTGACCAATCGTGGCACGTGTTTACACGAGCTTTACTTTCATTGTTTTTGCGTGGGCCGATCCATCACCGTGGGGTCCCACTTGTCAGGACACACTCTGTGTATATTCAGGCGCACACGAGGCACTCGAGACACGTACAAACCGCTCTCGGGCAAATAAGCTCGCGAACACCCACGCACACACAGCCGCACGCACACGTACACAGACACAGGCTGATAACTGACCGATATTCGCAATTGGCGTTTTGGCTTACCGCTTACCGCCAAGTGTCCAGATCAACACACACAGACTCACTTACGTAAGACACTAACGCGAGGCATGAGCCTGCCGACCAATCGCAAGCTCCTCGTTTTCAGTGTTTGAGCAATAGTTTATATTCGCTTGCAATTGGCTTACGGGCTTCCCGTGCTTACTACACAGTCTTATGTAATTGATTCTATTGGCTCCGGGCGACACGGAACGAAAAGGGAATGAGAAAAACAAAGATCGAGATCGACGGCGGATACGTCCTGGAGTCGCGGATACTCTGTCCATCTTTGACCAGCGTTCGACCAACTGTTCGCTGAGATACACACGCAATCGAGCCGTGAACTTGATGAAATAGCTGAAGTGGATTTTACAGTGAATGGAAAGGTATTGGTAGCGATAACCTTAAGGGTAGTTGTTTCAAGTGTTCACGAATATGAACAGCTCGACAGATAAACTATTTTGACTAACGTGTAGAGAACTTGAAAACATGATTCAACACAGCAAGCTTGAACATGTGTACGACACAGTCCACTAGTGACTTAGATCTGGGTTAGATCGAGGCTCGTCTAGGCCATTATAGAACGGAAAGTAATAACCTGTCACCGCTGATTTTAATTATCTTCACTGATCGCTTCAAGGAAAGTGTACATTCCCTAACGATAGCTCACATTCACCACGCAATCCACTTTCACTACGATATGTACATATGTTTACGAATTAGGACTGAATCGAGCCAAATTTACGCACCCCCTAGTCAGTACGCACGTTCACTTTTTCGACTGCGACGCGTTCGCCATCGAACCAACGATTTCGTTCGCGGATATGCTCGAAGGGATATGCTTAAATTTCTCGATGACGTTGTGGATCGATATCGAAAGAGGCAGTGTTGTTACGCGGATATATTCTGAACAGTGTCTAACGCGCGGCAAAGTAAATCAATTTACCGTCAAGAGAATTGCGACGGCGGAACCAGAGGTGTACCCGACGTCATATTTCACGCTCTATCGTTTCCGTGAATTTTCGTCTGGAACAGGAACGTCAATAACTATCCGAGGTGACAATATCGGCTCGTACGTCGCGCTCGTTCGTTATCGCGTATCCAACGATTTTTCTTCGACCTTACCCGCCTACCCCCTGACGCACAATGGGGGTGTTCGGCCGAAAGTCGGTTACGGAGAATTTTGTCTGTCCCGTTGAGCTTTCGCTAGGAGGAAGAACGAGATAACATTTTGTTCTGTTAGTTGATACTTTCGTATCCCGAGCTGGACATCTGTTCAACATTTATCAGCGACCGTTACGTATTTAACCCTTTGCACTCGGGAGGTGACTCTCAGTCAACACTTGGTTTCACGGAGTAAATCTATCAGCGATAATGTTTCTTTAGATTTAGTTTCTTTGGAACGCAAAGTGTCAATAAAATGATCGCCGATGAGGCAAAGATGACTACTCAAAATTTAAACACAGAAAAATAGATTCTCCCTGTTCGAAAAGCTCCAAAAAGAAAATCTCGAAAATGTTATCTCAATTGAACGCGTGGTAAAATAATTGTGGCCAAGCTTTGAGCGCCCCACCGTGCGTCGTGGCACGCGTAATTCCCGCCTAATTAAAATTAAAAGGGCGACCGCGTCCGGAGTCGCGTTACACACACACGACGGGAACTGAAATTACGTTCTTCCCGCCGCGAACGGTATCGCGTGGTCGCACCCGTATCCAATTCTAATCGTCTAATTACATCCTCGAATTGACTAGAAAATCCACGTCTAGTACTATACGGCAGCCAGCAACGGCAATAAAAATTATTCTCCCACATCAGTCTATCTACACATCCTTCGGAACATGCACTGCAGTCTTCGTGTTCGTTATCTTAAGAAACATGGGCTTTTCTGTTTTAATTTAACGGTAATCTTTAACATTATCAACGTTTGCTCTTACGAGAACAAGTTCACCCCCTCCTATTACGCATCTGTGTGTGTGTGTGTGTGTGTGTATGTACAGAGTGAGGCTCTGGCTAGTTTCCCACAAAGGCCTCGTGCTTGCATACAAAGTGATTCTCTCGCTAGTCGACTGCGATAAGTCGTTTGCGCGTGTAATCTGTCGATAGGTCTGTAATGCAAGAGACCACTTAGGTCCAGCTTAGGTTCACGTGCACAAGACGAAGTTTGCATCGATGGGGGGCTCTTATGTTGCGAGGAACGAGCCTATTAGCGTATCGTACACAGTTAGTCCCATAAATATTCGTACCCTCTATGTCTATCAAAGAAGTTTGACTAAATTAAATAATAGTTTTGATATAACTTAATGCATTTTTCATTATAAATATGGATATGAATAAGTTTATATGAATAAGATATACATCAACATATTTAGACAAACATACACTTGGGAGTATTAAGGTTATCATTTAAACAAATTTCTTCAATAGACATAGAGGGTATTATGGGACTGACTGTACATGCAAACATGGAGTGTTTTTGTGAGAAAGTAACTCGAAAATCACCTTGTATAAGTACACAGAGTGATTCTTTAGAGAATTTCCCAGAAAAACGTGCCATGTTCTCAACATTGTCGCTATAGCCTCGTTGGTGAACCTCCGTGTGAAGACAAGAACCCACTGGTTCCACAATGTACGTATCGTACGAGTGAACCAAAGCTAGCCTGTACCTGGATGTTTAGAAATCTTCGTGGGAACCCAGCGAGGGAATCACCCCGTGCAGGCGTGTGTCTGTCTTCGTTATATTATTATTTTTCACCGCACGTTCGCCCTTAGCCGTTATAGAAAGTATTACCCGTCAATATTGTGCTGCGAGACCACCGAACGACGACCGTAGCTCCTCTACCGTAGCGCGTCATCGCTTCCGGTCGTTAGAACGTTGGATCCCTCGTACGTCGTGCACATGTGAACGCCTCTAATAATCGCGTACGAGCATTATTCCTCGAGCTGGCGGATGGCAATTCGGTCTCATCGATCGCACCCCCGACAGATTCTTCGTTTTATGTGTTCCGTGCATTAGTCACGACGACACGTTCAACTATTTCATCGACCACCGTACGGTAAATCTCGCGACAAGTGGACGTTCATTTCCACCCTGTGTCGGCTCGACGACTTCCCATTCCCTTATGTACGTATGCACACGGTGTAGGTCCTGTACATAACCCGCGTATGGTATATCTCGAACCGTATCAACAATCACTCACTCTCTCTCTCTCTCTCTCTCTTTCTCTCTCTCTTTCTCTCTCTCTCTATATATATATATCCATGTCAGTATTATGTATATGTATATATATAATGTATGTTTATGTATACGCGATCCACGCGACGGATCGACATCCGTGGCCCGGGATCAGTCAACGCGACGTATTCCTCGCGAGTCAAGTGTCATCGAAATATCGTTCACTACCGCTCGTCCGGCACTGGACAGGATGTCTCTTAACTCAACAGTCGGTGTCGTCCTGGTGGCGTCTACGAAGCTCCAGATAACGGTGCCGGGCGTCGCAGTAATGAAGCAGCGGTACCTAGACGTCGGTTCCCGTTCCTTCCTGGTATCCCTCGTCGGGGGAACTGCGCGTCGAGCCCAGGACGCGTTTCAACGCTGACACGGGCGGCAAAACCGGCACTCCCTTCTGCCAAACTCTTATCTGCTTGGCGCCAGGCGGGAATTGCTCGGCAATTGGCGCCACCACGGCCAGTGCCTCCTTCGAGGGGTACGTGCTGACCGACACCGATGTCCTGGACGCGTCCCTCGCCTCCCACATGCAACTCGAGTAGAGGATCTTCGCGTCGTCCACCATCTCCATGCGACTGTAATCCGCACCGCCGTACGGCGTGATGTCCTCCGCGGAGCCCCTGCGCGTGTCCCTGATCAGATCGGGATTTTCGATGGGCATCAACGACGTGGTGGACGAGAAACATGCCCCGGGCGCGACCATCACCGAGGACTGTTGACTCTGATCGTCGAAACGACCTATGCTACCGTACTCGTTCTCCGTCTGCAAGGACGCTGGCTGCGGTCTCTGAACGTAGCTGAGGTTCAGATTCCACCCCGGTGGATTACACGCGGAAGGTTTAGATTCCACCCCGAACGACGTCGTCTCGATCTCCTCGTGTTTTCTGCGAATGGTCGAGGTCGCGGACGCTGGGGTGTCGTTGTTCCCGCCATCGGCGGATACGCCCTCCGCGGGAACGGCGGATTTCACGTCCTTCAAGGGCATTCTTCTCAGACGTATGAACAATACGAGGATGATGAGGAGAATGAAGAGGATCAAGACGACCAACGCGGCTGATATACCCGCGATCTGGCCCGAGCCGAGCGTGGACATTCCAGCGGTTCTCAAGGACACGTGAAGGGTGAAGTTCGCCTCGACGCTGCCCGCGCGATTCTCCGCCACGCAGTAAAACTCGCTCGAATCTGTTTCCTGGGCGTTGGTGAGCACCAGGGTGCTACGTTTTCGGAACTGACCCTCCTCGAAGATCAAGATCTTCTGGTAGCTACTGAACGCCGAATGGTTGGCCAGCAGCCTACCGTTCCAGTACCACTTTACCTTGGCGGGTGGTATCGCGCTCACTCGACACACGATGCTGGCGTTCTCGCCTATCGTCGCCTCGGCGTAACGACTCGCGATGAGGAGGATGGGACGACAGGCGAAGTCGTCTATACCCAGGTCGGTGAAGGTTCGGTTCAGCAACTGTTTCGGCCCGTGGCACTGGGGCGCTATAAGAGTTGGGAGATTGTGCTTCACCAGCCACATCTTCATCTCGCGCAGATGACAATCGCAGATCCAGGGATTCTCGTGGAGCTCTATGCTGGTGAGCTTGTTCAGGGGCTCGAAGGTGCCCGGGTGTAGCGTCGACAGCTGATTGTTGTTCAGCTTGAGGCTCTCGAGCAGCTCCAGACCGCGGAAACCCTTCGCCTCGATCTCCACGAGCTGCGTGTGCGAGAGATCCAGCTTGACCAAGTTCGGAGTATTCTTGAAGGCGAACGAGTGGATCTTCCGGAGCGGATTGTTCGCGAGCACGAGGTCCCTGAGAAACACAGTGTCCGAGAAACTGGCATCGGGGACTACGGTTAACAGGTTGTGACTTAAATCGAGCTCCACGAGATTCGTAAGGCCCGCCAGTGCCTCGCTATCGATTCGGTCGATACGGCACTCGCGTAGGTAGAGACGCTGTAGATTCGTCAAGCGTACGCGTACGAAGATGTTGCTCGGCAGGGTACGAATGTCGTTGCCGCTGGCGTCCAGCACTTGCGTCTCGGGATCGACCCACTCCGGTATGTTGGTCAGGGCGCGATTTATACATTCGACCGTGCGCTTCCCGCTCTTCCACTTGCAGGAACACTGATCGGCGCACTTATCGCTGGTTACGATGCCGAGCAACGTCGTCGCGTAAAATAAGAACACCGTGATCTCCATGACGAGCGTGTTTATTATTGTCGAACGGTGGTCCTGTTCTCGGTGAACGTTATCCACTCCGAGTAGCCTGTTCGCGGATGCCAGCTTCGCCTGACGCATTAACGAGCGAGAAATCTTTCGGATCTCCCGAGGAAATCATTCGAGAAAGAGTTTTCACCCATTCTCCACTATTTCGTTCACTTGGCCGACCCTACCTCGCGATTAGACGCGATCACTCTCGTTCCGTTGGCTTTCTTTCGTCGCACTTTAGCTTCCTCACCCGTATCCGTCACGATTGTCACTTCACACTTCGCATCAAGCGTGTAGTTCTCGTAACATTCCGCGGCTAATTATACCACGGCGCGACCTTCTCTTCGATCCCCCCCGTTTGAAACGACTCCTCGCCGCTGAACGAGCGACTATTTTCGGCGAACTCACGAATCGACGAAAACCAACACCGTCTTCTTTCCTGTCTGGCTTTCCCGTATTTGTCGGTACTCGTCACACGCGCGCGCGCACATTGGGGTACATACGAGCAACGTACGAGAGCAGGGCATACACACCGCGAGCGTCCCGTTCTTACGTAAACGCGTTTCCACCGATCAACGTGCACTCTATCCGCGCTGGCCGGGCACCCTTCGGCGGACGTCGTCGAAAGTAACACCCCGTCGTCGTCGTCGTCGTCGTCGTCGTTACACGCAGGCACAGCGAACGACGAACACCGCGGAACACCCGAATTACTCGCGAAAACTACCCCCGTCGCTCTGTCTCCGTCTCGCGCGCGCGTTCTCACCGCTATTGCCCGAGGCGTTGTCCGTGCTAGGTGATCTCCGTTTCGTTTTTTTTTTTTTCACCCCCGCGGCTTTTATTTCCGACGAACGCGCGAAACACTCGAACCGATGGCGCGGACGCTCGTCGTGAAATGAGAGACTATGAAAAGCCCGGCACTGAACCGGAGAGATACCCACTCTCCCGCGCTCTGTCTTTCTTTCGGTACGTCGTTGCACACTGCCAGGAGGGAAAACGCCGACGCGAAGTAGGGCGCACCCTTCTTCCACTCTGCCCAGACTATATACAGGGTGTACACACCACCACCGTGATTCCGAGGCACCCCTTACGGCGCCTTTCCTCTCCTCCCAGCGTCATCCACCAGCATCCTTCACCCCCTTCGCGAGCCTGCTGTTCCCTGCAAAACCACCCCTACCCGCCGCCTAGGGAACCCCCGCCACTCCCAGCCAGACAGCTCGTGCGCTTTCCACCGAGGGGTCGGGTAGGGATCGTTTCCACCCCTACCATCGCGGACGAGCAACCCCACCTTCGTGACGGCGTTTTCCACCCCTCTAAATGGATACACGGTGGGCGCGCGCACAACGTTACCAGTGCCCTGCTCTCTCTTCGCTCCTCTTTCTCTCGCCCAGTGTCTCTCAAATTGCGATCCGCGGGCCACATCGAGCTTCGCCAGCTCCGCGAACGAAGAAAGATGAAAACGGTACGCGGGGAACTTTCTCGGGGTCGGTTAGAACTCTAGAGGCTAAAATCGGAGGGTAGATGGAAGAGAAAAGGAAGAAAATGGTATAAAGGAGCATACTTCGTCCTGCTAGTGGACTCACCGATAAAGTCCCCCTTTTACCAAACACAAACAGTGTTTACGTATGCATGTCACGTGTGATACGAGACTAAATCAACATTTGGGAAAGGCTAGCCGTTGACTTTGGTCCTCCAGGAAATATTGGGTTGTCTGTAAAATCCATGTCGATTTTAGGTAGATGGTACAGGTCTGAATATATCGAAATGGTTGAAAACAAGTAACACGAATACATCCCTTAAAAGGTGAGAATATTAAAATTCAAATGTGCCTTTGAATTTATCTTAAAATTTGACACGAACTTTCTGGACGACACAATAACCCACAATAAATTTTTATGGACGCATAAAAACCCCATTCACGTGACATTACCCCCTAGGCATTGCCTAACTGCAAACAGTTAACGACGTTATACCCCACGTGCACGAGTTGCAGTAGCAAATTTCGTGACTTTTTGGTAAACCATCCCTGAGACATGAAGCAAAACAGAAGACATCTCACGTACATGGATGGATAGATTTATTTATTATGTGCTCTGGAACGGGATCCCCCGAGAGCATTTAGTCTCGAGTACAGAATGTCCACGCAATATACGAAAATAGAAGGATTTGACACAAAAGTAATTATATATAGTAATTAATTACTATATCAATGAAAATGGAAAGATCCATTGTCCTCACGAAAATGAGTGCAATAGTCTCGCCTCCACACTTGCTCGGTCACCGAACTTCAAAGGGGTGCCGCTCGTATTACAGCTACAAACTACAAACTACAAACTACAAACGTTTCTATTCCTCACGAAGTCTTTGCAAAAGTATTATCGAAGAATTGATGAGGTTTTCCCAACTTCCTGAATACGGTCGTGTTTGGTCTCATTTTAATCGCGAAATCCTCACCAGTCCATTGATAATAACGTCGCGCGGATATATTGAGAAATATAAACGTTTTTCGCTTGCATCGATGACGGTCGCATCGATACGCCTGCGGCACCGCTTTGAAGCTCGGTCAGGCGAATTTTATTTTCACAGTTGCCGGCCACTCGAGCTGAAGAAACGTAATCGATGGGTGGGAGACGGTTCTTTGGCACATACGCGAAGTAAAAGCTTCGTACATAGTCAGAGTACTACTGTATACAGAAGCAAAGACAGAATGTTTCCCGTGGTAGTTTATTCCTATTAAAAACGCCCGTTAAAAAGTTCTCTAAAATCGGCGGTAAAAAACCGTCAAAAAAGAAACGGTAAATGGAAAAGCTCCGAACTTTGAAACAACTGAAACTTTTTGCATAGCTTTATCAACATAGTCTCGTACTTACATCCGTGACTTCTCGTTTTGCTTGGAAGTTAAAAACGATAAGGTATACCGAGCTCTTAGATTTTTCAGTTTTAACTCGAGTACCATTCGATGAAAGAAAATTCATTTGATATTCGACGGTGTTAAACTCACTGCGGTAAGATCCACCCGAGTTCGTTGATATTCCTACATATTTATTTTTCTATATTGCTTCATCGAACAACGTGGAGTTAATTTGCGTAAATTTAATCAAACTTTTAATTAAATTTGCTAGGTTTAATTGAATCCTACTAAAAGACTAATAATGTATACGACACCTGCCAAAAATAATTCATCGTTCCGAGGGTGAAGTTTGAGAAACATTGCTCCAACCTATCCCACGTTTTCCTACGAAACCCTCTGACCTTACCCCTCACCCTGCCAGGCTTCCCACCTGCCCCCACCTTCAACCCTCCAACCTCCCGTTTTTCGACGTATCGAATGCTACGTCACAGCGGCGAGATATACGGGTATTTCACAAAGTGGTTAAATGCACTGCGAGATTACGGATTGGAGGGGTTGCAAGCAGGCAAGGGAAGCCAGCCAGGGTGAAAGAGAAAGAGAAAAGGCCGCCAACGACCAGGCTAACGGCTACGATATCGTCTATCGGCCATCGTCAACTGCCAGAGGACTCTCGTCGCTCCTGACTCTTACGATCGCACCCTTGGAAGTCGATTTACCCTTGTTTCACCCTCTTCTACTTTCCAGGCTGTTGTGAACAGACGGAGGTAACGTTTAACCCTCGATTTTTTACAATTGTAAATGTTGGTCTCTGTTTTGCTTCAAATAACATTAAAAAGGTGTTATTTTTATAACTTTCAAAAATCAAATAACACATTGAACTTTAGTCAAGCTCGCACTCAATTCTGTAAAATAATCAACACAAGACTTTTATACAAGAATTTTGTTTAACGCAAGGATTTTCATACGCAAGTACAACAAATTTTCAACTGTGTGTGTGTATATCTCGACAGCAATTTTTCAAAAAATCATGGGAGTCTTGCAGTGAATCGATCACTTCGCCCATCGAGTACACCTCTATTGAACATAAACAACTTTTTAATTCTGAATTCCAATAAAGGGGTGGCTCAAAATTGTTGGCCATTAAAAGCGAGAAAATTTGATACAAGCTAGACCAACACCGGGGGAAGTTCTACCAACAACGACGCCAACTTTTTTCCCCGGTACCCCTTTTCTTGCGCGCCGTCTTCGCTCGAGCGTTTAAGCTCTCGAGAAGTCCGCGCCTGCTTCCACAACCCTCTGTCCCCCCACTCAAGACGCGGGGGGATCCCCTTCCCTTTCTGTCTGTCATCTCTCGTGGAAATTATACGGAAAATGAGGATATTCCTTCGCAGAGGAAAGTTAGGTTCGGTCGAAGAAGTCGACGCTCGGAAAGGGAACCGAGGGATGGGTAACAGTCGGGAGTAAAGGTGACACTGGCGAATAAGAGACGACCAAGGACGAGCAAGCAGCCCGACTGTGCGCCAATTTTCCCTAAAGGACCTTTTAGAGGTAATTGATCGTCCGAAACCGATACACGTGTCTCACCGCCGTCTTCTTACGCCGCCACGTGTAATGCACCGTTAATGGAAACGGACCTTTGCCTCTGCGCGCGATCAAAGACATCCCCGTTAGGCCCCTCTCCCACTTAACAAGGAAGCACCCCTAGGTGCAGGTCTGATTAGTCGACGATGGGTTTGCACGATGATAGAGCTTGAAATGTCGAAGCCAGTGGTTACTGTTTCAAGGGAACGCGGTTTGAGTAGTTGAAATAGAATCAACTGTTTATGTCTCTTCAACTGGAAGAACTCGCGAGTCCTATGGGTTTTGACAGAAACTATTTTACGTTCTATTGGAACCAACAATTTAAATGGTCGATACAACGATACATTTGAATTTTGATACATATTCATCGAATTACACAGGTACCATTTTGTTCCACAACCTTTCCATCTTTTAAGGGATATACACATGCTATTTGTTTTCAACCATTCCGATGTATTCAGATCTGTAACGCCTACCAAAAATCGGTATGGACTTTACAGACAAACCAATATTTACATTCCTCCTGTTTTTGTTTCCGGCACACGCTATTGGAATTTAAATCGGAGGGCAAAGGGTTGAACGACCCGTCGCGCGAATCAAACACTTCTTTCTAACACCCCACGATAACAGTAACAGTTTCCCAGAACTATCCCACTGAAATCCGTATCGAATCGGCATGTCCCGTAAATCTAGCGTTAAGGGGGTGCACCACGCGTTCGATCGTCGACACGTTCCCTGAATTTACCTATGTACGCCCCGTGAGTACGTGGGGACAGGGATGCAAGCCCCGGAGGCCTCGCGCGTTTCCATTTTCCCGCGCGCACTTGCGATCCCGCTTTCAAGCGTTTATCGATTTACGATACGGAAGGAATTACGGACCACGGGGATGCCGCGCGAGGACGGCAGGGGGTTGGTTTCTTACGCGAGGGAGAGAAACGTCGTAAAGAAAGTTGAAAGGGCAGAGGGCAGGCAAAGTAACGGGAAGACGGTAAGAACCGCGTCGGTTTCTACGGCTTAAAGTTCTGCCCCGTCGAGAGTTTCGCCGTGTCTCTGTCGGTTGCACTCGATGGCACCGTTGCACAGCGTCCACTGACGCTATTTAAGCGATTACTTAAAATCAATAGCGGTCGTTCATGCCGCGCCGAAAGAGCCCCGACGGTATAATTCTTATCCGAAACGTCGCTTCCGCCTTTTTTTTCGACCATCTCCAGCCTCCATCCCCTATCTCTGCCTACATCCACCTCCCCCTTGCACAATACTCTCCCGATCAAAGGGTGAAAGAGCGAAAGCGAGGGAAACAGAAAAAGAACACCCCCATCCCCCCTCCCGAGGTCGGAAGCAACACAGCCGCCTCTGGTTGGACTTTTGCCGAGGGGTTTATCGAATTGCTCGCGAGCTCTATCAGGATTTGGCTTGGCTTACTACATTTTTCAAGCACGTCCTCCACCCCACCACAGTGTAACGTTACCGTCCCTGCTAATGCGATTGTTTTGCAGATTTACGGCGTACGGCGTGGACAAGTATGATCGAGGAGAGAAAACTTATCAACCTTCCTTTATTCCGAGTGTCTGAGACTCGACCCCACCATCCTCGTCGTTTTACCACTGAAACGACGTTCGTTTGTAACTATTCCTACCATTTACCAATCTTACGACGTGTTACAATATTCAAAATAACACAAAATTTGCCAGTACACGCTACGTCCTTGACGCAAATTGAGTTCCTCGGAAAATGGCATGTAACAGAGTAATGCCTTGCATATTTTTCTATTTCCATTTACATTACACCACCATAAATCATCGTTAGCGTCTCGTCAAGCACTAACAATATACTTACTTTCTTCGTAATTTTTTGCGTGCATATTTTAACTAGAAACACGGTAATCTGACAAGCTTCGTGACCATACATCATAAAAACTACGCACATTACAATACAAACAAGGTCAAATATCCTATTCCTGTGGTCGATCTATGCACGATCAAATTTCTTGACTGCTAAAAAGTGCGCTTTCGAACGTTGAGAATAATTCGTAGAACTTCTACGCAAAGGTCGGCAAATTCTTATCTAAATCGCGATTCGAATAAAAAATTCTACCGATATGACGTAGATTAAAATTGCGTCTTATGCATAGATTGAACTGTCTAAGCTGATCATCGCTCACCTCGAATAAATACAGGAAAGGAAATATCCTAACCCACCGAGTGTCAACCTAATGGTCAATCTGTATCGCTTAATTTACCTTACGATCACTAATGGACAGTCTTGAAAATAATCGACAGGGAAGAAAAATACATGCGTCGTATACTGAACCGGAAATTTTATTAAGGACCAAATTTGCTTTGCTATTTTGTTCCTTTTGAAAACAAATCCACTGACATGCGTTTTCAATCAGATCGGGTCTGTGCACGGAGAAATCAAAAACAAATAAAAAAGGTTCCTTTTTGTGATCTGGGCACAAACCTATCTTCACAATTGACAAATAAACATATTTACGTTCTTGGAGAGTAATGGATATCGTTTCCTTTTTCCTCAAAAATTTTGTTTTCGCACGCATGAAACTTTTTGACGATTCCTCGAATGTTTAACAAATGTTTAAGGGGGTGGGTTCGATTATACGAATGCTTAAAACTCTGAGATAGAAAAAAAGTTCGATCAAACATGTACGATTCACGCAGAGATCATGTACGCATCTTTCTTTTTTTTTTTTTTTGGTTTTCTTTCTTTTCTTCCTGCTTTCTGTGAATTATCATGCAAGTCGATCAGTACCGCGTAATGTTTCGTAATGCGCAACACTTCTTTTTTTTTTTTTTTTTTCTTATTTCTTTACCGTTCACAAGATCCTGAAGTGCACGTACTCGTATATAAAACATTAAAAACAAGTGCACAGTAGTGTGCGACTTGCATTTACAAAAAGTTTCGTAGTTCAATTTTTATTTGTCAGGGGATAAACCGATTTCTTGCATTATTTCATAAGTACGAAAAGTTGTACGCTTGTAAATACGTTTCCAATGGTACCGTCTCTCCGGAGCATTTAGCATTGCGTGAAAATAAATGAACTTTTGAAGTAAATTACAGTGATCGTTATACATTTCGTGTGACGGTACTTCTTGTACTCGAATTCTAGTTTTGTTTTTTTTTTTTTGTAATTTTTTTTTTCTTTTTTTAAATACATTCTTCGTAGATCATCGAAGATCGTGTTTCGACACATTAAACGAGCTGCTGAAGCTTGAAAAAAATTTTGTTTCGATGTTGATTTGAGACCAATATTCGTTCTTACACTGTGAAAACGTATTATTATTATTTAATATATGTATGCAGCTCGTTGCATTGGAGTAAGCCAATGCAGATTACGGTGAAGTTACGAAACTGTTGACGTTAACGTCATCAATCTCGCTAAGTTGGTTTCACCTTCACCGATATACGAATCGAATCGTATATAAGTTAACGCAGCCCTTCAAGATGACTGTAAGGGTTTTCTTTCAAATATATCCCAAATCCAGATGTTAACACAGCGCTTCCAACATTGCACTTTTATATCATAAAGGTGCCCTCGCTAATTGTTTCCGCATCAAGGGTATTTTGTTCTCCAAGATTAGGTGCAGGAACTTCACTTGGAAATGTATATCTATGCGACAGACGTGAGGGAACACTTACAAGATTTTTAAGAACAAACTCATCTCTATGGTTTGTATAAGCAATCTTGAACGCATGTATGTATGTATGTATATCTGTATCCTAAGATTTCGCAAAAATTCAAATTCCACGCGCAACATGGAAAGTGATGTGACTTCGATGTTAAAATTCGAACGAAACAAACATATATACATATACATATGTATATATATATATATATACTCCTTCAGTCTATACGCATAGCATTGCATTGCATTCAGCAATTTTTTTATCACCCAACTTCTACTAGAAATTTATATTTTTATTTCGCATGAATACCATTCTTTAAAAAGAGTCAAGATAAATATGATTAACGACGTTTTGTTACGATTGAACATCTTGATTGCATTTTTAGCAATACATGGTTCGTCTCTTTAACATCCAATTGTTGTAAAACCGATAAATAAACAAATATCCATGTATATAACACGCTTCGCGACGTAACCGAGACGAACGTTAAATTATTAGGACCGATTCTACGCGATACGTGTGATAATTCGTTCGAATTTAATGATCTTTCCATTGGCACGTTCTTGACTCTTTTAAAGATTGAGTAAAATATACTTCACAAAATAGATTCCGTATCGGATCTAATGGTGTTTCAAATTATAATTCGGTAACACCAAGGGTATCACTTTTCTAGTCTGTACAACTTCGACCAAAAGAACCGATAATAACTTTCACAAACATACAACACAAAAAGCAAAATTTTGTGGTGAATATGCAGGAGAGTATTTTTGTTTTAGAACTGACACATCCGAAATACTGTTTGACTTACGTGTTCCCGCATCGAGGAAATAAAATATGAGAAAAAAAAAATGATTACAGTATTACATTAGAACAGGATCGTACACGATTTCACTTAATCGAATGATCGAATCGGTGAAATTTTGTTCGACAAGTAACATCGCATACGAGGAGAATGTAATAATCGATAAAAGATAGAGCCACAAAAAAAAAACACCAAACAGTGTTTCGTTTCTAAATTGTCATAAATACAACGCTTACGTAATTATCTCGATAAATCACTGCCAATTTTTCGCAATTATTTTCGTTTCTCCGTTTCGGAATCGTAGATTCCAATGCGGATAAAAATGTTTTTCACACACTGATTCTCTATTATCAATTGGCTTTCTCCTATCGTTATAAGCATCGCGATGCTTGTATTCTCGCAACAAATACGATGCGTTCTTTTGTTACGATCAATTGTTGAGATTTCCTACATCAACGTATTCTCAGATCACATTCGTCTCAAACTAGCAAAAAAGTGTAAATCGATTGATAATGCCTTGCACACTGTTAACGTGAGCCGTAGACACAATTTCCAATATTGAAACATCGTATGTATCAAATTATAATTTGCGTTAGCGCAAAAAACGGTTTCCAATGCTTTTAATACCATAATACTAAATTACAGCATCCGTGTTCAGACGCTGACACAAGAGAGATGAACTCGGTACGTCAGCGATTAATAATTTTACAGCATATCATTTCCAGAATGGAATTATAAAATGTTTGCCCAACATGTGTTACCCGAGTATCGAGAAACTTGTTCATTTTAGTAACGGGTAGCAAAATAATGAAGAAACCAATCTCCCGCTTCATCCCTGATATGCATACAAGTCAGTGCATAGAATTCTCGTATTAAATATTCGTATTTAGCAAATGTACGACGCGTAACGTCATACCTCGTGATTTTATTAAATATGTATCATCTATACCAACCATTAAATCAGAAGTCATACATTTTAAGTGAGCGAATGGATTTTACACGAGACTTTACATGGAACCGTTGAATCGAAAGCTTAACATTTCGCTTCTGCGGATGTGCATATGTAAAAAACGTCATTTTATTCGGTAGACGTTCATCACAATCATGATTAGTTTTTCGTACCTACCTTTATCGCAGGAAAATTTTTAATGTTTACACTTTCTGTTCCAGTAGTCAATCATATTCGTCATAAAACATCTCCCCTGTTGCCAACCATCACTGAAGCAAAGTACCGTCGAAAATAATATTATAAGTCTAAAGGCATTTCAAACCGCTTTTCATCACTTTCATCAATATCTGATTGAAATTTTTTTACTTCAAATATGAAATATTCTATTGCCTATTAATGTATACGCGTTTCGTTCCATAAACCTAGGTCGTCTTGGCTGGTGGTGCACTTTTTGTTCGCAAAAATATCAACAGTACAATAGAAATTTGATTCGAAATAATTTCTTACGCGCCATTGTTTTTTTTTTTTTTTTTGTTATTTGTACGGATAACATGTACACGGATATCAAAGAGAAAAAAACCAAGAATAAACAGGGATTCCATGATGATGTCCTATTATATTTTGGCAGTTATTTTATCTGTCACGGAAAATGGTATATTATGCTATTTTATGTACACTTTTCTTTATTTTTGTAGATTTACCTAAAATGTGTCTTGAGAGTAACAAGAACTCCTAGATAATTTCATTACTCGTACATTAGTCGATGTATCAATTTTGGAGCAGACACATAAACGTTTAATAGGAATCATACAGAGAATCCCTAATATCGACACAAATGTCACCAGCCAGTTATTTATAAAAAATAATTATATAAAACTAGTCAATTTTACAACCTCTGACGCTCAATCACAATTTCGTACAAAAAAATCAGATTAGGTTAAAAAAAAAATGTCTATTACCGCTTTACAGAAAAAAAAGATAAATCTTGTTTTTTTGAAAAGTGATTGGAATTTCAGAGTTGTATGACAGCATTGACAGGTAGCAAAATCAAGCCATGATCAAATATTAAGATCGATACAATGTTTAGAATTTGTGATTGTATATTTAAGGAGAATTTATATGTAAGTATGGTGATGCAAAGTAATGGGCATATGGATCAATATACAACATTTGGATACTCATAAACAGCACTCAAGTATGAATTTACTTTCACTCTCCGCTGTTTCGCCATTTTAAATCACACATGCCATCACGTTTTTCCCTCGAACGAAAACAAGAATCTTGGAAGTATGAAGCCATTGTATAAAAATTTACTATTAAAACGATGGGTACTCTTCATGTAATATTTACAGTTGTGGTAAAATGCAATGATTATTATGTTGCTCATGTATTCGTTTATATATTGTGCTCTTGATAATGGCTTGACTCTGACGCACTTTAGATTATGTACATTTATATGTATTTATGTACAAAGAATGACTCGCACCGGCATTCGCATCACTTCATTCGCTGAGTTCATTGTTTCATACTCAGTATGCCTTATTTACAAGTAATTCATGTTTTCGCTGCTTACTATGATGTTAATTGAAATTTTCAATTTTTTTTCCTATATAGACCACTTTTTTATCTAAATGTTCATAGCACTGTTTTGTCTTTATACACCGTTAATCACACCAGACAATTCATTCGAGACTGAAGCAACATATCACTCTACGAGTTCAAAGCATAGCAATGTATGCCTTACATGTACGAGCCACGATCACTATTTTACACTTTAAACTCTTTGAGCGGATGTAAAACTTCATCTTGACGATGTATCGAAACTACTTGGACACGTTAACCTCTTCCATACTATTATTGTCTTCTGGTCTTGCTACATACAAACTTGGATCTATTACCTTTGGGATAGGTTTTATTTCTGTTCCAAGTTCTTGTTCGATACGGTGTAAGTTAAAACGGTCCTCGTATGTGATTAGGTTAATTGCTATACCTAAGTGGCCGAATCGCCCTGATCGGCCGATACGATGCAAGTATGTCTCTGCCATTTTTGGAAAGTCAAAGTTGATTACGACGTTCACAGCTTGTACGTCTATGCCACGAGTAAACAGATCACTGCTCACCTGTTGGTGCACAAAAATTCATATATTTGAGATTTTATATATGAATTTTGTTTTTCCTTAAAACACCAAACGTGTTTAGTACAGTTGATGAAAATCATCAACTGTACACAGGTGGCCATTAACAATGACTTTTGATTTTGATTCTTTCTTGTTTTAGCTTCTACTGCGTCCAACTTTATGATTTTCAGCAATATTTACACTTTTTCGCGGGTTTACGAAAGAAGAGAATTGAAACTCCGATTCGCGGAAATGGGGTCATAATAAATTCAAATTTAAAGTGATTCGAGGTATGACGGTTATGAATGGATTTTCGAAATATTTATCATATACTCAAATTTCCCGTATTTACTCAAAAATCATTTATATATGGCATTTGCGTTGTTACTTACCAAGTTTCTGCATAATCCTGCTCTGAAATCATGAAACACGCGATTTCGGTGTGCCTGCGCCATTTTCGCGTGTATATAATAACAGCAGTAACCGAGATCTGTTATTTTCTTCGCCAGTAATTCAACGCGTTGCGTTGAATTGCAGAATATTATACTTTGAGTTATTTGCAACTGGAACATAAAAATAAATCATACAATTATTATAAAATTCGTCTACTACCAGACATAGACAATCACATGTAAAATAATAACCTTACCTTGGAAAACAGCGTGTTAAGGCAATGGACTTTTTGTCGTTCTTGTACAAAGGCATAATATTGTGTTACGCCCTTCAATGTAAGTTCTTCCATTAAATTAATCTCATATGGATCTCTTAAGTGTTTCTCCATGAATTGTTTCACCGTTAGAGGAAATGTGGCTGAATACAGCAATATCTGACGTTCGTGCGGTAATCTGCATTTAAGAGCAATAATTAGAAAACAATATTTATATTATGCATCTTTAAAATAATTCTCGAATTAAATTTATTTTATTTACCTAGAAATTACATGATCCAACATTCCTTTAAAATCTTGCGATAAAAGCTTATCCGCTTCATCCAAAACTAGAATTTTACAGTGTTCCATATTGGCAACATTCTTGTCCATGAGATCAAGAATTCTTCCTGGCGTTGCTATTATTACTTGCACTAGAAACAAATATACCATAAATTAAAAAATACTTATTATGCTTGATTATCACGATTGAATGTTACATAGATGATAGTGCTGAATACATACCTTTCTGATAAATCCTCAGAATGTCATCCCGTAAGTTTGTTCCTCCAGTAGTTACCATTACTTTTATATCCATGTGTTTGGCCAGTTCAATACAGATTTGTGATGTCTGAAGAGCTAACTCCCTAGTGGGTACAATTACCAGTGCCTGGATCACATCTTTTCGTGGATCAACCTGTAATAATAAATTAGTATATGTATTTAGGTCGTCCGTTTTTTCATTTTTATATTTGAATTTTAATTTACAAATTGTGCATTATACCTGTTCTAGCACTGGAATTGAGTAGGCCCCAGTTTTGCCAGTTCCATTTTTTGCACGAGCCAAGATATCTTTACCAGACAGTGCAATAGGAATACTGGCTTCTTGAATTGGGGAAGGTTTTTCCCAACCTTTCTCAAAGATTCCCATCAATAACTCTCGTTTTAGGCAGAACTCCTCAAATTCATTGCCACGAGTATCAGTAACATCCTACAAATTTTAAAATAGAAAATTATTTTTGTGTGAATTTCAATGAAAGAGGTTAATATTACGTACAAAACATCATTATTAACTTACACTAGTTTTAATTCGTTTGTCCTTTTGTGGAATTTTTAATTTGGCTTTCCAACCTATATCGTCCATTTTGTCTATCTCTGATTTGGAAGTCAAAGCAGAACTTAGGACATGATTGGAATTTATGTGTGTTTCTGTCATCATTTTAGAAATGATAAAATATATCTATTTCCTGGAAAGAAGATTTTCACTTATAATTCAAGTCTATATGTTCACAAAATGTATTCAATTTAATAATGACAAATTATATAGTTAGATTCATGATTATCATATACAAGCTAACAGGTATGCTACTTATGAGACAAAAGCCAGGGAGCAAATATAAATGACCTACTGGAAAGAGTACAATAGAATGTAAACACAACGTATACTTTCATTGGAACTGAACTGGTTTTTATACATTCAGTGTCACACAGAATTATAAGAATTCTTGTTATTAGTTAGTGACATTGCTTACAAAAAGTTTGAACTCTGAAGAACATATACTACTCTGAAAACATTGATTTCAAGATACATCCTTATGCTGATATTAAAATAAGACTTATTATAAATTATATTTTTCAGTGGATTGCCTAAAATTAAGTTACAAACGAAAAACGTGTATCGTGTTTATTCAAACAACGTACAGTATTTAAATCGATAAAATAATTAGTCCATATTGTAACAGTTACAATATATTTCGTAATCTTTACGTAATTTCTAATCGGAATAAATGGTCGTAATATTAAATTACATTTAAAATAAACAAAATTTCCAAACAAAAATCAGACATGCCACATTCACGGTGAGAAGATATGCAAGCTGCTTATTTGGAAAGTTGGCTTGAGATATTGGTAACATTTTCCAGTAATTTGTATATCGTGCAGAGAACCGCAAAATTCCTCGATTTCGAATTAATATTGATCACGGAGGAATTATATGGAACGATTTCGACATACCCGTAAGGCCCAATGATAACGACAGTAATTTCGAGACTCCGCGATACTGTTCAGACATACTCGGAACAAGATGAAAAACAGACCAGCAGAGTAAAACCATCTGCGCAAAGTCAGTCTCTTTCTCTCTCGATAGAACGGATTAAAACTTTTTCTGAACAAATGTACACGAGAGAACGAAATGCAAAAATACTATAAACGTGTAATCGGTTGTTTACCAAAATGTCCACAACTACAATGCTACTTACCTTGAAATGGATGGATATCGATGCTGAGCCGAGCACTCGATTAGGAAACAACACGCCAAAATGGCCGTCCAATGTCAAGTTTTCTCTGTAGTGCTTAACCGCCGCGTTTTTTTTAACGAAGCACTAACACGGATTACTTGCTCGAAAAGCGTAACGCGTAATACGCGGCACTATATTACGTTCTTTTCCGTTTGTAATATGAGACTAACGCACTGCGTCAAATGCGAGCGATAATTATTCCTCGTTGAATGTACACGACATGCGCCATGAAAGAGTAGAAACACTCAGACAAGAAACCGTTACGTCGTCGCGCGCATTCTATGATTTGTGGCGGCCAATTGCGTGCACGGCTTTAAGAATCATCCTCAAATCCCCTCCACAACGCAGCTCAAATGATTCTTACTTATCGTTACGTTGAAATTTATAATTGAAATTATTAGCATTTGTAACGATATATAGGAATGTAAAATCAATATTTTATGAAAGTGTTATCTGTTATACTAAATGTAACTTGAAATACGATAGAAAAGAGTTCTCACGAATGGTAAAGAAGCGTACGCATAGGATTTCATGAAAATTGAACAACGATCGAAATTTTATCTTGGTGTCTTCGTTTTTTTCCACGATTTACATCATTTACATGCTTTGTTCCTCGACAATGACTGGATTTATTCCCTTATTAAGAATGGGAATATTGATTTAATGGTTCTATTGATAAAATATGTTATATAGGATGACTATAATAAGAATACAAAATTGTTACGATGTCGTACATGCATGTAACTATATTAAAATGATAACACAACGACACTGAATTCAAATTTTACGGTACAGGAAAATAAAATACATATACTGCATGCTCGAGTAGATAAATAAAATATGTATGTATATATTAAAGAAAGAAAAATTCGTCTTCTAAGTACAAGTTTGTTCCCTCCTTTGAGATATTCTATATTTCCTACAAGCTTCGGGACAATGTCGTTCTAAGTATCGCCTTTGAGAGAACGCTTTGAAACATTCTCCGCATCGCCATTGCCATTGATGATGATTTCGTGTCCTTTGATGAGCACGCAAATTCGATCTACAAAATATAAATACGTTAAAGGCCTTGAACCGACCATACGATTCGATAATAAGAATTTCATGAATCGGGACAAATTGAACGAAGTTAATTAAATTAGGTACAAGTAACGTGATCACAGATGGCCCAAGTTAATTTTTTTTCAATTACTTTGATAATCGATTAAATGGCGCAATCGAGACTAAAAATAATCATCGATCAATTAATCGCTCTACTAATAATAAGAAAAAGGAAGAATATATACCGATCTGCAAAGGATTTATGACAGACTGGACATTCGAAAGGTCGTTCGCCAGTATGGAGACGCAAATGACCCTTGAGGACCCAAGGTCGATCGAAACTTTTGCGACAATAAGGACAATAATGCATGGTTTTATTTCGTTTCCAATTCTGCGTGTTCTCCACTCCAGATGTTTTAATATTGCTGAAATATTGACTCTGAGAAACGTCGATCGGTTTCTTGTTAGGAGTCAAATACAAAGCTTGCGATATCGCTTGAGTTTCAATTCCGTTGTACGTTCTATTCAAATTCACGGCTACTTTGATTTCATTGTTGCTCGCGTTTATGGTATCGTCAATCTGTTTCGCATTGGCTGCCAACGATATTTGCATTTTCTCTGGTTTTTCATCATTGTTTACGATTATTTGATTGGTATTCATCAAGATATTGCCAGAATTTTCGATTTCTGATTTATTCGGGACGCCTAACTCTACGCTGCTGGTCAATTCTTTATTCCACATCATGATGTTCCCTTTGTTAAAGCTGTAACGCGTTACTATGGGAAGTTTCGAGGACGTCCACATGTTGTTGCATTTCGACGAATTGTCTTTGACCTGGTGCTTTCGCTTCGCATCGTGAGACGGTGGAATCCATGGTACCTCGGGCTCTGTGCGAAAAACAAAGTTTGCATACTTCTTTTACACTCACAAAACAGCGTTGTGGGTATAAAAAGTATCCCAATTTTCGTTCAAACTGTTTCTCGATGTTTTCATCGTTCTAAAATCATTCGAACTATTGCAATTTTGTAATTATTTGTATTTATTAAGGAACATTCAATATTTAATAGAAATCAGGATTCACCCCTCCAACAATAACGCAACGAAGTTGCGCGTCGTGTTGTATTTATTCATAACCACGCAAAAATTTCACTGTCGTTGGCTTGGTGCACTGTACCCTACGTTCGAGAGACATAAAGAGAAGAAATTATGCGCGCCTTACCTTCGGAAGAATTGTTGGTTTTTCTGTACCTTCTCATCGATTTGATCAGGCAACGCGGCATGTTTTCGCAGAAAAAAGATGAGCACAGAACTTGAAAGAAAGTATAAATTAAAATTAAGTGTTGTACGTTTCAACTGGGACAGAAACCACTGTCACGCAGTGGACTATCATTTGTTATTTTTTCTGTCCAGTGATGTAACGTCGAAAGAATCGCCCTTGTTCCTCAAATATAATCGTTATTCGATTAATAATTACAACGAAGTCGATTTAATTAACCTGCGCCTGTAATTTGTAATTATTCGTTCATATTTTAGCTATAAAATGTATGTAAACATGTCCATACGCTGTAATATATATACTGTAAATGATTATGATAAAATAATCAAGTAATTATAACATCGTAATACACTTTCATTGGTTTTCGTCTAATTTCGGAAACGTTGAGCAGATTTCAATTTAACGTACGAGAGAATATTCATGGTCGAATGTATTTATGTTTGCTTTGTATACGTTTCTTATGATACCTAGATCGCTGCTTGTACCGTGAGGAATCCACGACGATAAATAAATTTTAAGTAAATGGTCAACGACTTGTAGAAATTACTTTATTATTAATTGTAGCAAATGAGAGAGAAAATATTTAAAATTTCTTATAGTTAACGTTTAATGTTCGTGTGTTGCAAATATTTTTATATACAGGGTGTCCCAAAAGTCGGGGAGGAGCCGGAAATGGGGGGTAGCTGAGACGATTCTGAACAACAATTTCCTTTGCAAAAATGTCGGTGGGGGCTTCGTTAAGGAGATATTAAGCGAAAACCCCGACCAATCAGAGCGCGCGTAGACCGTTCGAGCGGCCGCAGTAGCGAAGGCTACGCGCTAGGCGGCAGCGTCAATGTCCTTCGATGCACGTCGAGTCACTTGTTCGCGTACAAGCGCGGCCGCCAGCGCGTAGCCTTCGCTACCGCGGCCGCTCGAACGGTCTACGCGCGCTCTGATTGGTCGAGGTTTTCGCTTAATATCTCCATAACGAAGCCCCCACCGACATTTTTGCAAAGGAAATTGTTGTTCAGAATCGTCTCAGCTACCCCCCATTTCCGGCTCCTCCCCGACTTTTGGGACACCCTGTATACTGAATAATCTGAAAAAAAAATTCGTACATTAACAATTGTAAAATTGCTAAACTAAATCATTGTCTTATTTGTTAATACGCTCGTATCTCCATAACCATTCGGACTTAATTGTATATTAATATAATAACATGCTCGCGGAAAATGTTCTCTTGAATACAATGAAAACGTATTCCATTTATCACGACCCACCGTGTATTTGGGGAAAGATCTCTTATATAAGTTCGGTACGTTCTCTGTACCGATCTTTAGTGTCCTGATAACAGTCGTAGCGGTAACAAGGACCTAGCAGCTTCAATACAACATCAGCATTCATAAACTCAGAATATCCTTAGAGATATTAAATCTCATTTAAACCTGTATGGTATAAAAAACCTTCGTAAGTATACCTAATGTTTATAATTTACCAATTAAATACGTTTCAGTACTGATAGAGCATTACCTTCACGCTTTTTCTAAAAAATAATATTTTACACAAAAACAAATGTACGAAGAAAAGATCTGTTATCTCGGTATTCTTCATTAAATTGTAATTATTACAAAACGCAAAATTCGTCAGGTTTCCGTTACATTTCGCGTTCAATTAAGTTGAATTAAGAGACAGTGTACCAAAATGGCCGACTTAAATTCGACGATTTTAAAATTGCGGAGTATCGTAGGATGCAGTCGTCGAACTTCTTCTCTTAAATTACTGGTTCTTTACGCCTGTTTAATTCGAAATGAATGATTGCATTGTTACAGATTATGTGCCGCAATCTATTTGTGTTCCTCGTATTGAGCGTCTTCTATTTACGCGTCGATTCCATGGGTAAATTTTGTTATATTCTAATTAAATTCAACATTGAAACAGGTTAATATTCTAATTTATTTTTGTTTTGAAATTTGAAGCTACACCGTGCCAGGAGCCCGATATGTTCTTGTGCAAGAGTGGGCAATGCATCTTATCCTCTTTTAGATGCGACGGAGAGAACGAGTGCACTGACGGATCAGACGAAGAACAATGCCATGGATATGAAGTACGTATAATCACCCTGAATCAGTCTTTCAATCTTTTAATTCGTATGTACCGAATCGTAGCTGAACGAACAATTCTTCGTTGTGCGTATGTTGATGTCGTGCCAAAGTTCGTAGAGCACAACACATTGTTGACATACGAAATGACCTGATACTTAACACACGTGTAATTATAAGTATATAATACTACATGTGTCCTAAATTATGTTTTCCACTTTCTTTGTGCGATTCAGCCCACCTTTTCTCTGGTTCAATGTGCCACGGATGAATTTCAATGTTCGAATCATTATTGCATACCGATCGAAAAGTTCTGCGATGCCAAAACTGATTGCCCCGACGGAAACGACGAGTATCCTAATTGCGTAAAAGATGTAAGATAATAAATTCGGAAATTTCAAATTCTCATTCTTCAAATGATTCAAATAATTTTTTTTTTTGATTTATTGTACAGCTAAAATGCGATACTTTTCGATGCGACGACGGTTATTGCGTGAGAAACGAATGGGTTTGTGACGGTGCACCGGATTGTCCCGATAAAAGTGATGAAATCAAATGCGGTAATTTTCGTACATCTATTTTTTAAATACCTAAAATATTGAATCAATTTCGCGATTAATATTTAAATTGATGCTTTGTAGGAAATAAAGCAGTACCACCCGAGGAATGCAACAACGAGATCGATCGATATCTGTGCAAAAATCAAAGATGCATTTTCCTGAATGCAACTTGTAACGAGAAAGACGATTGCGGCGATAATTCGGATGAAAATGCAGACGAGTGTAAGAAGGGTAAGCGACCGAAGAGATTATGCATAATCACG